TTGAATCCTGTTGTACTCATCAGGACCAAGTCCACACACTAACCATTTCTTGGCTTTTGCATTTTTCTCCCATTTCCTTAGATCTTCAGCAGTACAATCTACTCTTGTCTTTGGAACATCCACTCCTTCAGCATTCTTCTTGGTTGTGGCTAAAGGACCATCAGTGATGATTTCCCAAAGCTCATAGTCTTCGCCCATTATATGGTCCCTCATTCTGTTTTTCCACCAGGAGTAGTAGACCATTGAAGAGAGGAGGCCTGGCAGTGGATTGCCCTTCCCAGTTCCCAGGTGGTGCACTCATGTTGATCCTTTCCTAAGGTGTTAACCTCTTCAAGGATAACCTGCTCTGATACCAATTGATGTTATAAACGTCAATACCACACAAGAGGGGGGGTGATTTGTGTGGTACCTAATTTTCGCGTTAGAAGAACCTGGTTCTTCTAAGTGTTCTAACTACAGCAGTTTGCGGAATAATAAATGCTGAAAGTAAAGTGCACAGAGATTTTTACGTGGAAAACACCTGGCTCAAAAGGTGAAAAAACCACGACCTACTACTCAGTAGGATTTTCCCAAACTCCACTAAAATCACTGAGCCAAAAACTGCATTTACAAAACTCTTTGTAAACCTAAGGATTAACTCTAATCCCAGTGTAGCACACAGCCTCAACTGTTGCGACACTTTCAAGTTAACTCTAACTTGAATACTCAGAGTACCTAATACAATTGCTTCTAAGAAAGCTGAAAGGTACAATATGAAAACCTACTACAATTGAACTAGACTTAGAATAAACACAATGATGAAACTGGTTCTTCTATCTTAGTTCATGTAGCTTCAGACGTGCACACTTGTATCTCGCATATGTTGCTTGCAAATCAGACTTGATCTTTTTGCTCTCAAATATGCTTAACTTCTGCTTATGTGCAACACCTGTAAAAGAGAACAATCGTTATATTTATAGAGTTAGTAATCAGAGTTTGATAAGAACTCGAATTGTGGATCCCTTGACAATTCGAGTCCAAGAACAACTCTAACTCCTAATCCATATTCTTGATCCGGATGTAATTCTCTTTTCATAAGGAGACTTCAACTCCTTATCCTATATGCAATCTTTTCGATCAATTCAGAAGATATTGTTGCTGATCCTTGAGACTTATCTTCTTCACGTGTATGTCACATGTGTAAGCATATCAACACTGTGTCTCACATGATGGACCAGGTTCATGACTGAGTTCATTCTGTCAATCTTCAAAACTTCATCTGAACTTGGGCCAACAACCCTCGAGTTGTATGTTTCCACCTTTTTGTCGTTGTCCTCAATTCTTTTTTCTCTTGATTCGATCCTCTTTGTGAGTTCCTCGAGCATTCTCATGACGACGGGGTCAATTCCTGAGCCGTTGTTACTTGATCTCTCCGGGGTTGGCTCAACACGATGAGCGTTTTCTGGCTCAGCCACGCTCGGAGTCTTTTGCTGGCTCTGTAACTGGGCGATAGCGACTTGTTGTGCTTGCAACATCTCAAAAATTACTTGTAGACTAACTTCTCTCTCTCCTTGAGGCTGTGTCCTTTGAGCGTCATGTTGATCCCCTCCGCGTACACTTCCTTCGACATCAATGTCCAAATCGACGTTCACGGCAATGTGTGAACCAACGTCGACGGGGTTTGGCACTGGTGCTAGCCCAGGGTTTAGCGGTGGCACACCGGTCCCTGCAGCTGTTGCATTATTTTCTCCATTAGATCCGAGACCACCGTTTCCATGCACAGGTGCGTTTGCTGAGCTAGACATATCTTAGCCTGAAATCAAAGAATCTTTGACAAGAAAAAGTGTGAAGAATAACGTGTGTTATATGAAAACTAGCACTAAAATAATCACTATTGTCTTTAGCCCCACGGTGGGCGCCAAACTGTTTACCTCGAAAAATACGAGTAATATTTAAAGGTGATTTGTGGTTTTAAAGATATGTGATTTATTCCAATACTAGTGAATATACAAGTAATATTAGGTTTAAATAAGAAAAATTGATGAATCAAACCAGCGTTGTTAGAGCGACGGGGACCTCAAGCTCGATTGACTCGGGAGCCTCGAGGTGAGTTGAGAGCTAATAAAGTATGAACAATAAAGTAAAAACAATAAAGTTGCAGAATAATTGTGGAGCACGGTATACGAGAAAAGCAGTGTAGAATATTCTATTACAGTGAATGAGATAATCCTTACAAATGATTGGTGACCCCTTTATATAGGAGGGGAAAACCCCAAATCTGGTAGATTCCCAATTATGGTCAAGAATGGTACAGTTGTATAACAACCTAGTACAGACTCGTACTATTTCGTACAAATCTTTCCTATAATTTATACCCTGACCCATGTGTCCTTGAGAAATTCCCGCTCTTTCTTGAGTGTCATCGAAATTATACTTTCCTCGTGGCAGATTATCGCGGGTCTCCGATTTGCCTCTCGAGGTGCACACATCCCGGCCAGGGTATGATCAAGTCTCCGATTCTTATTCCGAGCTTCCAAAATCGAGCTCTCCGATTTAGACCGTATACAAATACATATTAAGAATTTATTTAGAATGCAAATAAAACTGAAAGGTCTGATAATAGAAAATAAATAATATAGAATAGGGGGACGGTCAAAATTAGCCCTAACATATACATGTATTACAGCTGATTGAACAGACTCAACACCATTATCATAGTGATTAATATTTACTATTGAATATGTTTACCTTTTTGTTATTTTATTAGAATGTAAGTTTATATTTTTGTACAAAGTTTAATATAGAGTTGTGTTTGATTGAAGGACAAAGCTGTCACTCAGTTTTTGATGGGCATTTTCGTAATCTAACCTTAACATTAGAGGCTTTCCACTTATAATATAGTACTAGTTTCACGACGCGTGTGTTGTACGTGTATGTCCAGCCATGTAATACATGATTTTATAAATAGTATTAATATTATTATAAAAATATTTTAGTTAATAATTATACATAAAAGAATAAGATATATATGTGAACTGTCAAATAGTTATTTTTTTTCCTAGATCAAAATAATTGGATCTTCTGAACCTATGAAGTTAATTAATTAATGGTTAATTAGTTACACGTAAGTTTCAATAAAAGCTCCCAGTAAAGTAACAATTGTATGATAAAGTCATATTTTATTAAAAATGATATATATATATATATATATATATATATATATATATATATATATATATATATATATATATATATATATATATATATATATATATATATATTACATTAGCT